AAGAGAGGGCGAAGGGCAGAGAGACGAAGAAACAAGAAGAGGGCGGAAAACAGGAAGAAGAAGAGAAGAAGGAGCAGAAAAGAAGGAGCAAGAAGAAGAAGGAAAGAGGGAAAAAGAAGAAGGGAGAGGAGAAGAGGAAGAGGAAGAAAGGGGGGGAGAGGAGAGCAGCAGGAGAGGAGGAGAGGAGGAGAGGAGGAGGAGAGGAGGAGGAGGGGGGGAGGAGGAGGGGAGGAGAGAAAGAAGGGCGTCGAGAGAGAGAGAGAGAGAGGGGGAGAGAGAGAGAGAGGAGAGAGATCATCCCATCCGCCAGTTCATCTAGAGCTGCAGTCCGGCACGGCGGGAGCGCAGCGGAGGGGGACGCCGCCAGGATGGGCAAGCACCTATGCGGCTGGAACAAAAGAAAAACAGGTGACGCGCGTTTCTTTTTTCTAGGCCAGCACCGATGCGGTGCACCAGCACGCTGTCGAATCCCAAGACCACAACGGCAATCAGGACGACGAGCGGCCGGGCGTCTCTGTTGCCGCTGCGTCCGTCGCCGCCTCAACGTCACACTCCTTCGCGCCGCCGCCCTCCCCCTCCTCGCGCGGCGGTGCAAACGGGAGCTCACCCGCCAGCATCTCGACCAGCATCACGCCGAGCGCCCACCAGTCGACCGCCTTGGACAAAGAGAGGACTGTATCACACCCGGACACCCCTGCTGGGAGACGGGTGAAGAGGAGCTGTTGCCGACCGCCTTTGAGTCATGGCGCCCGTTGAGCTCGTTGAGTTCAACACTGTGATGTGGTGACCACACGCCGACCGCCTTGCCGTGCCTTGCCTTTCGCACAACCTCGGGCGCCTGGCAGAGGCGGCGATGACCAGCGAGATGACCAGCGAGATGAGCCGAGATGAGCCGAGATGAGCCGAGATGAGCTGAGATGAGCCGAGATGTGGCGCCTGGTAGTTTGCGGTGCCCACGCGCAGCTTGCCGCACTCCGCTTCTCGGCACGCAAACCCAAAGTCGGAGAGGGCGAGGTAGCCTGGTCTCGGGTAATCTCGGGTAATCTCGGGCAATCTCGGGTGATCCCGAAGTCGGAGAGGGCGAGGTAGCCGAGATCATATCTAGCGAGATCATATCTCCCCGCTATCTCCCTCCTATCTCGGAGTCGGAGAGGGCGAGGCCGCTAAGGAGCGAGGCCCGAAGAGAGAGAGGCACACACACACACACACAGAGAGAGGGAGAGAGGGAGAAGAGAGGGAGAGGGAGAGGGAGAGAGAGAGGGAGATGGTGAAGAGAGAGAGAGAGAGAGAGGGGGAGGGAGAGAGGAGAGCGAGGGAGCCCGAGGGGCCGTGAGCAGTTGTGCGGGTGGGTCAGTACCTGCCTCTATACCTCCCTCTG